GTCGATGGTCCATGGTCAATCCATGATTACAGCAGCAGTTGTGCGATGATACTCTTCACTTCATCAGTGACTGGCAAATGCGTCATTCACCAGTGCGTCAGCACGTGTCTTGATCTAGTAGTAATATAGATGGGAGAGTACTCGAATGGACAAGGACCAGAGTCATTTATTAACTCTACAGACTTCCCTATCTTCACTCCTTGTTAAGATATTCATTATAGATTATTAAAATTGGACATAACTTAGGACTGTTTTGCGCGAGACTAAGTTTAAGTTTCGCACTGCCCATCGGGTATCGCAATGAATTGAAGCTATAGACTTTTTCAATCGCAAAAAAGACTTTTTGTTTTGAAAACGAAGGAACTAAAAAGCTTGAATTTGATGAAGCTTAAATCTGTAAGAAGGTTATGAAATTTTCATTTGAAAAAGACTGTATTGGGCAATTTATTGCTTGCAAGCTTTTTTCTTGTGCTTCATGTGCTTCATGTGCTTCATGTGCCCTATAGGTTATCTAGTACACAATAAATTTATCTAGCCAGTTCCATATAACTTTCAGTCCATTATTCAAATTGTTATTTTTCAAACATAATACAAGCATGTAAAGCATATTTTGGGCTGAATTGGGTTAAAGTTTACATTTGGGTTTCAACTGTACAGTCTCCATCTTTTGGAGGTGATACGAACTAGGGTAATTGAATGGTTTCTTGGATGGTAAAATAATTGTTTGTTTCAACTTGATTCAGTGTAACTTTGCATACACCTGGTATATATTTGCATGGTACTTTGATTCTATTTTGATGCATCAAATTCGTATAACGTCATCGACTAAACTGCAAATTTTTCTTGTTAATCTGGTGACTTTTGCCCTTTTAAGAATCCAAACTAACAACTCTTTGATCAGTTTTTCTCGGCTATGACGTTACTCATGAAAGTCTCAAAGTAAAATTGTAGATGAAATATGAAAATCATGTTCGAAAACCAACTGAGTAGTTGGAAACCATACGCTTCGAGCACAAAGTGAAGGTCCAATAAAAATAAAGAAAATTAAACCTTGATGCGGTTTCAGCACTCAACAAGTTAAAGAGCTAAATGAAAAAACATAATATTTTTAGAAAGCAACTAATTAATTAAAGAATAAGGAAAATTAAACGCCCGGGGCTGATCTCTCGATATGAAAAAGTTCCTTAATTGCCGTGAACTCGCGAGTTAAGAGATATCATTTGATGAAATAATGCTTAATGATTAATGAAATCAATTAACTTGCGAGCAAAATTTCCTAATAATTTCGTATAGCCCGGGGTAAACATTTTGATTTGAAGATTAGATATAACATGATGATTTATCTTATCTGATTCAGGTCTCAATAAGGTAAACAAAAATTTCTGTTTTTTCCAGAAAAGCACTTAAGATGATGACCGATAAGTTATTATATCTTGATGAAGAATTAGTATATAAACCGAGTTGGATCTTCAGATTTTTTTCATTAATTCTTCAGCTTTCAGTATTGATTTTATTCCTAATTCTTCTTAGCCACTCTTACTCTCTTCTACACATTCACCAAACAATGGCCAGCCGTATACCAGCACCAACAGCACGATGCAAGCATTCACAGCCCCTGCTGACCCCCCAATCAAGGGTATCAAACGTCGTGGATATATGGACGTGAAAGGAACACGTACCCTGGTTGGCGTAGCGGAATGGGAGGATACTTTGGTCATCATCATGGATACAGACCGCTTGGAAGACAACGCAGGGGAGGCGGATGATATAAGGCTTTTTGGTTTGCTGCTAGAGGATTACGAATTGGTGAAAGCCTTTGATGAAGACGATGTCATCTGCCAGAAGAAACTATGCATTGTTGAACAATACTTTCATATTATCTCAATTAAATTGAACCGAAAATTTCTCGTTAAATTGTTTCTAATTCTGTTATTTGCTTTTTAGACTTATGATGAAAACTGTTTATATTCCGAATAAATATTGTGCTTACTATGCACATGAATAAATAATTGCTTAAAATATTTCATTTCATCTATCTCACAATTAACTGATTTCATTCTTGTCGCGCTTTGAACGATATCCCTATAAAGAATACATTTCCAAACTGGTGAATCCAGAAAAATTTTTTTTGTATAGTTTTACCATGCATTCTCCATGGGAAGAGATAGAGTAGCGAAAAAATAAAAACTTGAAAATATTTTTTTGAATTTCCAATACATAATCTTTTTTGTGATTGAACCGCGTTTGACTTACCTGATGTTTCCGAAATTATAAAAAAGAAGCGAAATCAGTTATCAAAATTATTTATTTGTTTTCTTCAAAATCATTTTAAATACATTTGGTATAAAAATTTTAATCTTTATCTAGCCCTGACTGTCGGGCTACTAGTGATCCGACTAGTGATCAGGCAAGCGAGTCAAGACTGTTGGGCCAAGACAATACAATAAAGGGCGGTACGGCACAAATATGGTTGGATGCTCCTTCGCGTTACACTTTTTTTCATGACGAATGCCGATGGTCCTGGTGTTGAGACGATGTATTCAAAGAGTTCAGTTAAGTCATTAGCAAAACTATCGCATTGAGTCTTTTCACTGTTTTTCTACTGATTGATCTTTTTTATTGTTGTAAGCTCTAACCAATCCATTTGAACTGATCTCCAAACACATTCACTGAAATGAGATGCACAACCTTCAACATCAGCACTTAGGA